CCGCTCATAAAGTGATTACTTCCCTAGGTCTTTCATGAGCATAATACACACGTTGGTGTGATATTTGGTTTTAGTGGGAGTTTTATGTTACCTTATGTGTTGTTTAAGAACAATTATGTTTTTTCTATATAGAATTAAGAATTTGGTTAGCTCCATTATAAGTTGCATTTATTTGAAGTTTGATCTGACTTCAATCTAAAGAGGAACTTATCGGAAAATCTATTTAGATTTTAAAACCACACATCATGTTTAATCCATGTCGTTAGTTATATATGTATATGTGACCAATGATAGGTTTAATTATGTAAATTGTAACAAATACCGCTTTGATCCTATACTTGCATGATTAGTGGATGAGATTGTTTAAGGGTACCAATACTAGGATAACACTTATTAAAGCGCTTATATAGTTATATATACATTTATACATTCGTGGTCAAGTGGGAAAGTGTTGAATATTTTGGGACCACTAATAAATGTATATAAATAATGTTAGCATTAATTTTATATTAATATGGAAATTATACAAAATTGTTGATGGACCAATTTTATTAATAAATAAATATATACACTTACTATGTTTATCTTATGGGTTGAGTTTCTGATTTGATGCAAGATCACCTAAATCTCTAATATCTCACACATTCGGTTATATCTCCATATATATAAATAGGTGATGAAAAGAAGATTTACAATTTATGAAAATACATACAAAAAATTCGTTTTATGGTTTGTTATAGGATTCAGAGAGAGTTATTGAGATCAACTGGAAAACTAATCCCAGTTTCCAGATCCGAAAATCTCAAGGGAACAAGGTATGTAATCGTTCTTTAATGTTTAAGTTTTCTTTTAATCAGATTCGAAATAAAGATCTAATGTTTATGCTTCCGCGTTTATGTTTTGGTTATCAAAATAAACAATTGAATCCCTTATTAGGTATTAAAATTTTCAAACCAAACTTCTTTTCGATGTCCTTTATTCATTAAATCTTTTTTTGAATCAACATATCCCCAACAATATAACCATTATACTTCAAGGTGAGTAACCTATTTATGGTTGAGCTTTTATCTAAACATATACATATACTATGAAAATAGACAAACTTAATACATCTCATTATTGGTGAAAACTCGTGAATGGTATGGTACTTTTTATATTGACACACTTACTTATAATGGTTAACGATATACACCTTCTAAGGTGATGATGTGAGGTTATTCATTCAATATATAATTATAAAGATTATTATAGATAGAATCTCTTGGATACTTGTGGTGTTGTTTGTAAGAAACTACTAGTGATTAAGAGTAGTGCTTATAAAAGTAATAGTGTAAAGCAGTAATGTAATCTTTACTATATTATTAAGGATATTGCCCATTTATTGAAATTTAAGAGGTACTACACCTACTGCATAATATACAATCAATTTATTCATACCTTTTAATACTCCTATCACATTTCCGTTTTACAAATTAATTGCATTAAATATTCACATTTTCGTTTGACAAATTAATGGCATTAACATTGACGTTTCATAAATTGAATAAAAAAAGTAAACATACTATTTTTCTCCTCTGTCCTCTACACTCGCATTTTCCCTCAAACAAATAGCAAAAACCCTATTTTGAAAAGCCGACATCGCACCTCATCCGCCTAACTCATCATCGTCATCACAATCGGTAGTGAATCACCACCCCACTCTCCAACCTCGCACCACTCACTGTATCTGTATCTGATCACCATCGCCGCTACCTACTGTGCTCTCGCAACACTTTTTCGGTGACAAGAAGCCACCACGCTCTCACTTTATCTCCTATGTCCTCTACACTCGCACCACTTGCTTGAGATTACTTAGAGGATTAGTAGCTTTCAGATGAGATCCAAGCACCCTATCAACCTTTAGTTTTTTTTAAATGCAAATTTGAAGTTGAAATTGTCATGTTCAAGAGAAATGAATATGAAAAAAGGGCTCAATGAAGATTGAATTTGATGTCGGGATTAATGTGCAAATATAGATTCTTTGTTCCAGTTTTGATGTCAAACCTAGCTCTTTCAAATTATTACATGTTCCAGTGTCGTTTGTGTGTCTCTAGCCTCAAAACCCACGTTTGTATAAGGTCAAAATGCTTAAGGGTATCGGTAGTCACCCAAGGCAAAGTTCTGTTTTTGAGGTTTCAGCTTTACTGGGATATTGGTTCTCTCACAGTGTTAATTTGGTAATAGTTGTCACACCCCCAAACCAAAACGTCCGGGGGTGGAGGACTTCATGTATAGTATCATAACCACAATTGCAATAGTAATTTAAGCAAACACAACTAACATATATATAATTGAAAGAGTTACATCATTGTATGAGTTACATGTTTCCAAATCAATTACAATATGTTGACAAAACATGAAATGTTGACGCCTTAACGTCCCATCCTCAAAATGCACTTTGATACCTGTTTAGTGATTTCCTGAGAATACAAGTTGTTTGAAAAAGTGTCAACACAAAGGTTGGTGAATTCATAAGCTTTTGTTTTCAAACTTGATAAAAGTCTCTCTCTTGTAAATGTCATGTTTGTTTCAGAAAAGTCTGATATTTTCTTTAAAATGTGTAATGTAGTCTTATATCCAAAAACCAAAATGTATAAGTAACCTCTTTTACTTAGAAAATGATATGTGTTTAAATCGACATAAACGCGTTTGAATTAAATGAAATTCCCGTAAATTCTTATGTTTATTAATACTTTCTGTGAGTTCATTATAACCATGTTATGACCTAGTTGGCCTGAAACGACGTTCTTCAGGCGTCGGAAATGTTTATGATATTTGTCACCCCAGACCTGCCGGTATAACTGTTGCATGCAGTTAAGGTATGGGTTTGTCAAACCCAATATAGATCTATATACAACTATCACACTCTCCCTCCAGGAGACTCTGGTTACAATACAAGACTTAATGGTAAGTGTGAAGCGAATGTCTCACAAAGTCTTTAACAAATTTAAGTGTAATGTAATGAAAATCCCTTATTGTATGAATGTACACTTTTTGTATGAGTGTGTTATGTAATGTATCATAAACCATACCTATTATAGTTTATCAAAACAAGGGTAGTGATGGTAACGTACGTAAACTATATTCAACGTAGTTCATTCAACTGTTTGAGTAAAATGGATGTACTTTGATTATAACAATCGTGTTATCCTTTATATTTCACATATATATATATATATATATATATATATATATATATATATATATATATATATATATATATATCAAAATCCATTTATTAACTGATGCATGTTCATATACCAAGATAAAATATCATTCATTTGTAATAACATACATTCACATAAAGATATACACCTTGCTCAACATGTTATAAGGTGATAATAATATGTTAGCATTTTTCTGTTAGTAACAACTTCGATCACTGTTATTAGAAAATTTATAAAAACTTCATAATAGATCCAAATCAGAATCCGTGAATTCTTGGAGTTTGGTTAATGAGTCTAGTTTTTCATAAATTTTTCCATGATTTTTAGTGACCTCCAACTTAGGTGAAAACGTCCATAAACACAGACTGGTCCGGATTGGTTCTTGAAATGATAGGTAGTTTTGAAAAAATCACTATAAATTGTAGAAAAATCGTATGGAGATGTGCAAGTATCCATTTTAAAGCTAAGAACTTGAACTACTTGCACCTTGTACAGTTTTAAAAACAAAAATGTTTTAGTTGACGAAAACAGTCTGTGAATGGAGTCCAACTTTTCTGATGTAAGCTATTAGAAACATTTAGTTGTGTTCTTGATGATTTAACTTGTATTCTCCCCCTTGAAACATAATAAAATATGAAAATGTAGGGGTATGAACTCACCTTGAATGATTTCAGTAGATGGATGATGGGGAAATGTAGTATTCCACTCAAGAACACTAAGAAGATACCTTGAAGGTTCGAAGATCTAACACTAATGTGATGGAATTTATGTAAGCATCTATGATTTGGAGTAAGAGGAAGTGAAATAATTATGTGGAGGATGAATATACTTACCAAAAGTGGGAGAAAACTTGGAAGTGAATCTCGAATGTTTGGTGAGAGGATTGAGAGAGAAAAGTGTTTAATCTTTGGTGAAATGAAAGCAAATGAGTGAGAATTAGGAGAGAGGATGAATGTCCAACTCTAAAAACGTGGGAATAACTTGTGAGAGAGGTAAAAAGTACAAGGAAGTGACAAGGTATAGTGGGGAGGAGTGTGGGTTAGTCATGGAGTGGGTATGGTGGTTGCTTGTGTCACAATACAATGAAAAGTCAACACTCAACCTTTGTACTTCACCCACTCTTCTTGGATAAGGTTTTATCCCCAAAAAACGTGATTAATCATTAATTAGGGGGCCTTACATGTTAAAATAAAGTTTTGGGTGAAAATCCCGCGTTAACACGATGAAAAACGAAGCTAAAATGAAGTCGTAGTCGAAAACCGGGAAAAACTTAGTTTTCTGCGAGGCCTCTCGGTCCTGGCCGAGGTTCGGTCCTCCTGATGCTAGGTCCGAAAGCGAAATGGACCGAAAGCAGCAAGAAGTGAAACGGAGGTTCGGTCCGAAGGTGTGATGGAGCAAAATGGACCTTCGGGTTCGGTCTCCTGTTTGCGAGGTTCGGTCCCGAGAGGACCTTCGGGTTCGGTCTTGTGCGAGGTTCGGGTCCGAGAGCATCCTTCGGGTTCGGTCCTCTTGGTTTCGGTTCAACAGCTTTGGTGTTCGTTCCTCTTTGTTTCGGTCCCTAAGAGGACTTTCGGCCCTATAAAGGGGGTTTCGGGTCTTTTAGGGTATTTTAGCCGTTCTAACTCCATTTTAAGCTATTTTTGACCCGGTTAATGGTCGGAATGACCCAAATGACTTCAAAAAGTTACGGAAACTATTGAGAGAGATTTGAGAGAGATTTCAAATAGAAAGAGATAGAGTGAAAACGATTGAGAGAGGTTTCGTTTGTGATGTTTTTGAGTGTCAGGCTTCGCAATGCAAGGTCCGTAAACCTCATTAAGCCATGTTTAAGTGTCTTACACATTCCCGATGAGTGTGCATTAGTGTTTTATCGCTTTGGTTCATTGTTTACCGCATTTAAGGCTTAGGAAAAATTTAATCACACGGATTTTCCAAATGATGTTTTCTCATTAAAAATAGAGGGTTGTTTAGTAAATATACAACGTAAACCCTAATACGCAAGGGCTAATTGAGTCGTTCGGTTTGACTTGTTGAATTTGTTTGACTTTGACTTGACCTGAAATTGACTATTGTCACAATAGTAATGCCGAAAACACGTGTTTTATGAATTGCTGATGAAACATGTGACTTTTTGAATTTGTTTGCTTCTTGCTCTTCTTGTTGAACCCTAACTTAAATTTTACAATAAGAAACAACCTTTTTGACATCAGAAGCGAAACTTTCTTTGGCATTCCTAGACCCTGGTATATTCTTTTAAATAACAAGAGTTGATTTTGTTCATGTACATTTCAGTAAACACTTATTTGTACATGTAAAAATGCAAATATATTGAAAGAATGAATCATATGCTGATAAAGTAAAAAGAAATTGGTATTTAAAGCAGCATATTTTCAATTCAAGATGGATAATCAGTACCAGAGAGATGTCATTTGCAACTTTCTTAATTTGACTGTAGAGATGTGGTGCTTAGGATTTGAACATTACTGATTATATTGTTATCTGAAATTCATCTATGATTTATCCAAACAAAAACAGTTTGACTGACTTTATCATATTCCTACAGGTGCTCAAAATGTGAGCTCTGAAAGGCCACTTAGGCAATTCGTTACAGGTAAAGACAAGTCAGCAGGTAGAAATTCAAAGGGCCATATCACAATTTTCCACAGAGGGGGAGGGGCAAAACGATCACAAAGAACAATTGACCTAAAACGCAACACTTCATCACTAGGTGTAGTTGAACGAATCGAATACGACCCAAATCGCACTTCACAGATCGCAATGGTCATATGTGTCGAAGGGGTAGCTGTTGACCGCCCGAAAAAAGTCAACTCCCTCCAAAAAAACTTCACCCCACCCCCTAAGATCCTACCCTCCATCTCCGTCAAAGGTCAGTTTTCATTCTCTTCATTTCCCAGAATGCTAGAAGACAAAAAGGTGGAATCTTTAAGGCCTAAAACAGATCATGTAGCGGTTGGACTTTCAAAAGGTAGTAGGACCTTGAGTAGTCAAAGTCAAAGTCAAACGGGGACCCACATCAGAAATGTTAAGGATGTTTTCTTGTCTGCCTTTTCATCTTCAAATGGGGGAAAAAATACATGATGCTCCTTCTTCGTTTGTGAATGTGTTGGGTGTTCAAAGAATGGCGGTGGCAGGGGCAAAACCGAAATTTTTTGTTCCAAGAATGAAAGATGATGTGAAATAGAATGAAAGTCTGTTGCTTAATGAGGTAAAAAGGTGGGATAAGGATAGTGTTGTGTAGGGGCATAAGATGAAACGAAAAGCAGTTGTTTCTTGGGGGAGTTTGAGACAAAGGGGGATTTTAGGGGTTGTTTATGAGTCAGAATCAAAGTCAAAGGTGAAAGAAAGTGAAACGGTGGAAAAAGATGGGAAATTTGGAGTGGATCGAGCTCCTGTGAGTTATATATTGACTACCTAAGTGTCGATTCATCTGTTACATAAGTGTCGATTTATCTGTTACCTGTCCGTTGTGACAAAAAAACAACATAAATCATAATTATACTGAAAAAACAAATCTTTAATCGGGTTTGTAATCAAGAGTGTATATTTATATATTATTATTTACCATTTGTACAGTTTGACATAATCGAGTTTGTAATCAAGATTGTACATTTATATATTATTATTTTAATTATACTGATAATTGTTTATATGTAGTAAACTATTTGTACAAAATAATTAATCATCTCTACAATTCAATTTTTTAATAAAATATCCGCACCCGACGCGGGTAAACGGCTAGCATGTAAGAAAAGCATGGATGAAATAAAATATTCATATATACGAGTAACCATGCATAATAGCTACTTGTTAGCATGTTATAATCCAATTATTAAATTTATTGTTATTGAAGGTAGCACATATGTTGGGATATGTCCATGAAGGATGAATAAAAGGGAGAGTTACGGAGTTATCCATTAGTTTGGACTTTTGGTATATGTCCATGAAGGATGAATAAAAGGGTTGCTTGTAATATGAAATTTTTTTGTTGTTGACGTTAGCATGTTAGAATATGATTATGATCCAGAATGCAAGTTTATCTTCTTTCTTTCTTTCTTTCTTCTTCTTCTTCCTTTTTTTTTTTTTTTTTTTTTTTTTTTTTTTTTTTGTCATATTGAGATGATTACAATTGTTTATTTTATCCCATTTTGGATGGTTGTCTTATTTCCTCCTTGTTTTGGGGTGGTTGTTTAATAGACAAATGGTTTGTCGTTTATAAAGGTTACATGGTTGACATTTTATTATTATCTTTAATCAAATTGTCATTCACCTATTGTAAGAAATTGTGTTAGTTACTCACAAGCTTTACATAGCTTATGTTGTGGTAATCTTCCACTGATGTAGGTGTTAAGTGGTATGGTTAAAGAGTTGTCCTAGTTACAAAACGATTAACAATATCAAGAAGATAGTTCTTTTGTAGCTTATGAATCAACTGTAATGTAGCACCATGTTGAGTTATTACTTTACGTAACTATGGCTCTTATATGCATATATGCTTTGCTACTTCATATGTACACTATATGTTTTATATTAAAATGTTTCAAAACAATGAGCTTTTTGGATGTACCTTTTTATAGTTTTTGGGTATTACAAGGGCCTCAACGTAAACATGACCGACTGTATATGTGGTGTCATTCTTTTGGCTCTCCACTAAGTTGTATTTCTATCTTTTTTGTAAAGGCGCTAATGTGACATGTCTGGTTAGAAAGTTACATAAACAGATTTTACACATTAACAAAATATTATGACCTTTAATGGCAAGAGTAAAAATAAGAAAATACGCAAAGCACATGAAATGGTAAAATTAAAACCATATGAAAAGTTCTTTTAAGATGCAACCAAAAGTCAATGTAAAATTTTATGGCTTCTGTGCAATTAAACCAAGATTGAAGGGACTTTTAAGATATTTTACTTGCATGCAATCAAATCACTTTAATGATGCTTGGTTTAAACGCAATCAAACCAAGATTGTGGTTAGTAACTTAGTATGTTTCCTAATTTTATATTATTAAAAGGAGTTTCAAGGTATTTTATTACTAATCATAGATTTTTATATATTAAGAAATTTGGAGAATTATATGTTAGAATATCTTTTGGATCCTAAATATGACTTATTTTGTCATATTTTAAAGAATATGCCAATTTTTTTTTTTTTTCTTTCAGAAAATACCCCTATTTACTTTCTAAGTCACTCACTCACTCCCTTTGACCCGTTATTCATTGCTTGCATAAATAGTTGTACATCTAAGTACAACCCTTTCTTGTACCCAGTTGTCCAAACAGAAACATACCAAAGGGCATTTATGGCAACTTAGCTCCAAAAAAAATATATCAAATATCTTTTAACACTCTGTAAATCCCGCACCTATACATACAAATTTATGTATACATCTCTCTCTCCACTCTGTCATCTTCTCGTTTTCTCTCTCTCTCTCTCTCTCTCTCTCTCTCTCTTCCATTCATCATTTCCTCCTAAAGCTTATCTCTCTGTTCATACATTCACTCATTTCTCGAAGAAATCTGCAACAATCTGAGGAACAGAAGAAACGAATTTAGTAAAGATTTCACCATCTCTTGCAAACTCATACGCTGTTGATTTCAGCTACGGGGTTCGGAGTTTTTGAAGAATTTTGGTAGGGTTTTGGGGGTGCGATTCGATGACATGAGTATAAATACGTGTGCTTGGAAATAAATGTGATGATATGAAGGGGGTTGTAAATTCAAAGAAGCAAAATTTTGGTGCTGGTTAATTGATTGGCTCAACTGTTGCTGAAATTTAGGGTTTTTGGGAGTGTAAATCGGTTGAATCAAACTGGATTTAGCTCAGGGCTCAGGTACTTCGTTTCTCGAATTTCTGATACATTCATCTGGATTGCTTTTCCTTTTCATAAGATTCGTATATAATCCACATTGTTCTGTAAATTAAAGCAACTAATTACAGAAGATTATAACAAGTTTGCGGGATTCAGCACTGGATTACACCTCTGAGAAAGTGTTCTTCTACAAATGCTTTCCTTCCAAAAGTGCTTAAAGCTATCGGTATTTGCTTTTTAGTTTTCCGTTAGTTTACAAAGAGAATCAGATTCTACAAACATCAACGGGTCTTTTGGGTGTTCTAACTAGAAAATCCAGTTCTTCTATTCTGGATCACATCGCCATCCTTCCACCTTCTTCGAGATTCTTCCCAATTCGCGCTGATTTTCAGTAAATTGATGCATCGATGGGGCTTCCATTTCGAAGTCTCACGATGCTTGTTCTACTAATTTGGTTTCTCCGGTGGCCAATAATTGAAGCTCAAACACCTGCAAGATCTCTCGATGCTATCCTCCAGGACTACGCTTATCGTGCATTTGTTCGACCACGAACTGGCATTCCCTACGATGGATTCCCCCCTTCAAATCTCTCCGGCATTCAAATATCAGCAATCAGGCTTCGAAGTGGTAGCTTATACACTAGAGGCGTTAAATCATACAAAGAGTTCACAATCCCAATCGGAGTTATATCACAACCATACGTGGAAAGGTTAGTCTTCGTCTACCAAAACCTCGGAAACTGGTCCACCATATACTACCCTTTACCTGGCTACATCTATCTATCACCTATCTTGGGTCTTCTCGCCTACGACGCCGCAAATTTATCAGCCAAAAACCTACCGGAGTTACCCATTCATGCCTCCGAGGAACCCATTTCAATCAATTTTCCACAACCAAAACCTGTTCCCAATGGTTCAATCGCAGAATGTGTTCACTTCGATCTAAACGGTAATATAAATTTCACAAATTTGATATCAAGAACAATATGTGAGACATTCGAACAAGGGCATTTCTCCATTGTAGTCAAATCCACCATTGCCCCTTCACCAGCACCAGCACCAGCACCACCACCGCCACCACCTCATGGTGGTGGTGGCGGGAACGGGAAAAGGGTCGGGATCATTGTCGGAGCAATCGCGGGTGGGATCGCATTACTCGTGTTGTTGGCATTGCTGATATTGTGGATATGGAGGTTGAATAAAAAGAAGAAAATGAATAAAATGGAAAAGGCTGCGGACTCCGGCGAAGCGTTGCAGATGACGGTGGTCGGAAACACGAAAGCTCCAGCAGCCACCACGACAAGAACACAACCGACCCTGGAAACCGAATATGTCCCGTGAGATTGTGATTCATACTTATGGTGATGGTGGATTGAAATGAGAGAGGTAGTGTTTTGGGATTCATTCTTTGGTGTTAGTGTGTGTGGTTCTTGTGTGAATAATTACGTTTTTTTTATTTCACAAAACCTGTTGATAGTTTGATAATTTGTTGTGTGCATTTTTTAGGTGTTTAGGCAAGAGTGATGATTCTATTCATGGTAAATTTTGTGAACCATTGTTAAAGAAATAATAATTTCTTTTTTCTTTTTTGAATGGAACTTCAAATTTTTTTTTTCTTATTTTAAAAGCACAATGTTATATTTGAAAGAAATGGAAATATGATGCTATAATGAAGTCATAAATAAAAGTATGTTGCTATATTTTATGTAGTTACCATTTAGTTGTGGTTGATGAAGAGGTGTATAGATGTAGTCGGTGTAACACATGGCACATGGGAGGGATTGTTGATTCTTGAAGGCCAAGTTCCAATGATTAAAGGAGTTTAAGACTACTTTATTGAAATTGCTTTTGGTTGGAGCATTTGTCATCAATTATTGCGTTACAACAATAATACGTTGTGCACACAAGTACAAATATATATAGCCATGCCCGGCTATTTCAATCATAATCATCTTGATTTTTTCTTCTTTTTTGTCACGTAAGAATTTCAGTAATTAGGTAAGAATGTATAAACAGTTAACTAACTTATACGTACTATATTGGAGTTTTTGTAGTTTTTATATTGAGTAAAAAACGGTTTTATAAAAATGTATAAGTCATATAATATTTCATCAAATAAGAGTCTAAATTAATTATACTCACATTTCCATAGATGTTAATGCGTTTTGGGGAATTGGTGGATGAAGTATGAATGGGGTTTGAAAGTGCACAAGTCAAAGAAAGCAGCCAACACGTTGAGACTTTTGTTTATTGTTTCATGTTTTATTAATATAAATATTTTATTTTTTGGTAAATGGCAAAAGGAATCGACATCAGTTCCTCCACCTCACCCGCCGGTTGTTTGTTATACGTTGTCATTTAGTAGCTGCATGCACGGTTTGTCATTTAAATTTCATATACATTCTCATTTTTGGGGGTGTTTCTTCCCAATTTTTTTAACAATAAAAGGAAACCTCGAAATGAAATTAAATATGGGCAACTTATTGTTTAGCTAACGGCATAGAATTAAATCGTAATATTTCTTTTATGATTTCATTAAGGTTGTAAACATTTAATGGAGAACAGTTTGATGATATGTTAGTTTATGTTTATTCATTTAATAAACTAACAAATATAAACAATCATTTATGTAAGCAAACAAATACAAAAAATAGTCTTATTTGTGAACATTTGTTTATGTTCTTTCAAATATGAAAAAACTAGGTAAAGTCTTGTTTTATTTTTTAAAGACAAAATTGCAAAAATGGTCCCTGTGGTATGCAAAATTTTGGGGTTTTAGTCCAAACAGTGACTTTTTTGGATTGGTGGTCCTTTTGACCATGTTTGCTTGTGGTTTTGGTCCCTCGGAAAACTGAAAAGACTAAAATGCCCTTTTTGATATATTTTTTGTTTAATTTAAAAGAAAAAGAAAATAAATAACTAATTTGGTCTCTCTCTCTCTCTCTCTCTCACACACACACACACACATAACACTAAACCCAAATATCCAGCTACTGCTATAGCAAATCTCGATCCCTCCAGTTCGTATCTCACCGGCCGAAGGAAAAGACCGACCAACTTGACACCGACCACCACCTCCCTCCGCCCTCTTCTGTCGAGTCACTCCAACAATCACCGATGCCACTTTTTCCCTCCTTTGTCTTCGCCGGTAGAAGACCAAACAAAAGCATCAGAGGCTACCGGAGCTCCTCCCTCCGCCACCCACTGCCTCTTTCCCATCGACAAACACCACCACCACCAACGATGGTGTTGCTGTTGCTGGGACCACCATGAAACCACCTCCCTCCTTGTTTTTTTCTGTTGATCGGAGCAACCCATTGGTAATCGTATTGCTTTTTTGAGAGATGAAGACTGGTAGAGAGACTGGGACAAATCAATTGAAACTTATCCTCCTTCAATCACCCGAACTTGTCGGAAAATAAAATGATTATGGATAATCGATTGAAGCTTCTCTATTATTTCTCAATCATAATCATCAAACCATTTTAACCCACATCTGCAATGTATGTATTTACCCAAAATCAGAATCGTATCTCTATGTCGATCAAACGCCTCAAATCTCTAACATTTTTCTTCAATTTCACTTCGCCGGCGGCCGACCTCCTTCTTCCAACTTAAGCCGCTGCTAATATCTGCTCTCTTGTAATCTATTTTAGATTTTCTGCATTAATCTTTGTGAGCATATGTATGTATGAACTGATTTCATAATCCAAATTATGATTCTGCCAAATTTCTAAACGTGTTTTCGATTTCTGACTTGATTTCCACCGTATCTCTATCTAGTTCGATTTTAGAAAACCTAATTCAACTTAGTTTGACGAGTTTTGGTGTGTGTTCAATCTCGGGTGTAGTAAATCGTGTTTGTTGCTACAATACCTTCGAAAGGGATCGCAAGCAACATCTTCTTTCTTTCTTCTTTTCCTGATTCGTTATGAAGCATGAAGGAGTTGATTTTTCTGGCGGTTCAAGCCTTCAATCGGGGTTGTGGGGGTTGAGAAGGGTAGCAACAGCCGGAGAGGGTGATGGATCATAAGGAAGAGAGAGAGAGAGAGAGAGAGAGAGAGAGAGAGAGAGAAAGAGAGAGAGAGAGAGAGAGGTGGGCCTTTTTTTATTTTTTTAATTGTTAAAATAAATAAATAAATATTAAAATTTAAGAATAATGAAAGAAAAATGAAAAATAAATACCCCAAGGGTATTATAGTCATTTCAGTTTTTGGAGAGACCATTTTCACATACAAACCACTCCAAAAGGACTACGAAACCAAAAAAGTCACTGTTTGGACTAAAACCCCAAAATTTTGCATACCACAGGGACCATTTTTGCAATTTTGTCTTTTTTAAATTGTAATACCCGTTCTTTATAATACTTGGAGTAAATTACTAAAATTGTCCTATAGTTTGGTCAAAATTACACGTTTGGTTTTTAACTTTTTTTTTGTACTCTGATCGTCTATGTGGTTTGATTTTGTTGCGTTTTTTGCCCCTTACATTAATAAAGTTAGGGACCAAATGTGCAATTTTGACAAAACCATAGGGATGAAAAACGCAACAAAATCAAATCATAGGGATGATCCAAATGCAAAAAAAAAGTTAGAGACTAATCCTGTAATTTTAACCAAACCATAAGAACGATTTTTCAATAATTTACTCTAATACTTGTTACTTGTCTCTGTTTGTTATAAGAAAATATGATATTATACTGCTCATCTTTAACGAAGGTTTGATGAATTGTGATATATTAAGCTAGCAAAATGTTAAAAAAAAAAACAATAATTACAAAGGAGAATTAGTTAATTTCAGAGTTTTTTTTAAACAAATAACCCAATTGACTTAGTTTAGAATTTTTACATAACAAACATAAAGATTGTCAAACAATCCTATCAAAAATTGTATCTTTCTTTTGTTTTTAAGTTCCAAACACCAACAAATTTCGATACAATCTCAAGACCTTCATTTAACGGTCAAAAGTTTAAGTATTTGGCTATACTCTATTTTGGTATTTAAATTTTAAAATTAGTTGTTATTCTAAGAATGACAACTTACTGTAAGATTGAATTTAAAAACATAAGGAAGGCGACACGATCGTGCAAGGATGCGGTGCGAATGTTCAAAGGTTAAAGAGTCAATCGGAAAGACAACGTCGCATCACAAGCATAGGTGTATGTCACGACGCAAGTTTGAATTTGATGGACACGTGGCAGAAGGACATGACTCGCAACTTAATTTGTGACATGTGCTGACATGAAGCGAGGCCAAGATCCGACCATGGGCTTTCCGCTATGAAGATTCGACTTTTTAGCTTAGTATATAAAGAGTTGAAGGGTTTCTCCAATGGGTTATTTTTAGGAATTAAAACCATAATTTGTGAGTGATGGGAATGGCTTATAGACATAGATCTTGAGCCCGGTTTAAGAGGGTACGATCGTTGAACGAGATAAGGTATCCTCTTGACTGTAACGTCCGGATCGTTGGTAAACTCCTTTTAAAACTAGATTGTATTTATTTTTGCATAAATGACCATTACGTTGGGAGTAATAAAGGGTACCCGGGGTGTACCTCCTCGATTCGAGAGGATGACGGTGATTATCCCACCATGAAAGAGTAGAACCAGAAGAGTGAGTTCATAGTGGATCAGGTGTCGTCTTTTGATTATGATAGCCAGTGATTATTAACCCTTAATCGAAGAGTTTGGGTTCCATACTTTGGGGGTAAGCTACAAATTTTGGTGGAGGAGGCGCATAAGTCGAGGTTTTCTATTCATCTAGGAGCGACGATGATGTATAGAGACATCCGACTTGATTATTGGTGGCCCTACATGAAGCAGGATGTAGCTTGGTATATGGAGATGTGCTTAACTTATAGGAAAGTCAAGGCCGAACATCAACGACCTCACATCAAAATGGAGCCGTTGGGTGTTCCTGCATGAAAATGATAAGAGATTATGATGGATTTAATCACGAAGCTACCACGGACAACACGTGGGGTATATTCAATTTGGATCATCGTGGATCGATTGACCAAGAGTGTGCATTTCATCCCTATTCAGGAGAGCATTTCCACAGAGAAGTTAGAAAATGTCTATATCCGGGAGGTTGTAGCACATAATGAGGTTCTGGTCTCGGTGGTTTAAGATCAGGAGTTCGATTCACTTTCAGGTTCTAAAAGAGTTTCCATGAGGAGTTCGATACTCGTCTTCACTTCTGCACAACTTTTCATCCACATACTGATGGTCAGAGAAAGCGGACCATTGAGATCTTGGAGGATATGCTACGGGCATGTTTGTTGGAATTTGGTGGTAGTTGGGATACGTATCTACCCTTGGATGAGTTTTCTACCCAAAT